TGAGCATGAGTCGAGCAACTTTGCAGTGGCAACGAATACAACGTGCTTGCTGCAATCGGTGCACTGGGCTCGTCACTTCATTTGCCATTTTTTCCGAATGTCAATTATTGCAGTGGAGTAGTCAAATGAATCGAACAGTACTCGCTACTGATATTTTCAGAATATTCAAGCTCTATTGCAAAACCATAAATATCCTCAAAACTCTTGTGTTACCTCAGTATTCTTGGATAAAATGCAAAAGACCAGAAAAAAATTTCAGTATATTTAATAAAGTGCTGAACGGATTCATATTGGACACAGCCACTCATGGTCAATGGACTATATTGTTCGAGATGTCGGCTCTCGTCGCCCTATTACCTGTGGTGTTCTTCAGTTTGTGGGGTTCTGCCGAGTTACAGCCGTGGGCTATTCCCACCATACGGCACTCCGCGAGGGATGATGTGAAGAACATCTCAGGAGATGTTGATGTTCAGTTTACGGTTCTGCCGAAAGATCTGCCTCAATCGTCATCTAATAAACACTTACGAATTCAAATTGAATGAAAGTTATCAGCCACGATTTGTGTATAATTTGCTACTTGTCACCACTAGGAACTGATATTTCTCTCTGCCTTTCACTAGTTTTTTCACATGATTCGCATCCATATATCCGACAGTGAGTTGTTTTCGAAACATTTGATATCAAATTTCCAATTTCTTCAGTTCTCTTAGTACTGCATTGCCATACGTCGAGAAATTTGGCAAAAAACATGTTCTTGGTGAAATCATTTCTAAATCAAATCAAATAATCTATACCAAAGACTAATCATGTAGTTAGACAACGGTATTTTTTGACTACTGGTAATACTTCATGAAATTTTCGGGTTATTCGCTAGTTTTTTGTACTTCCGATCATCACGAAATGTCGATGACAGGAAATGTAGTCAAATGTCACAGATTAAAGCACAAAGTAACGGTTGTCAGTACTTACGGTCGTTCCGTAACATACAACGATGAGCTAAATTATGCATCAATAAACAAATTTGATGCTGTCGTGTTTTATCATCAGGTATGTGTGAATGTTTTTCATTCCGAGTTATTGAAGTCTGCCATTACTATTGGTGATATTTGCTATCAACATGATCATACAGTTTAATGTGCTTCTAATCACAAGTTGAATTTCTCATTTCGTTTGTACATATGACTTTGACTTTACACTTTGATAATTTAGGTTCGTTTCCTCTCTTCACAAACTCGTTCTTACGCTCTTTTATACGACTTTTGAATCAAGTTCAGTTCACTTTCATTTTATACGTGCTGTATATATTTTATACGTGCTGCATATGTTTTCATAGTAACTGATTACAGTTACCATATGTATACCTTCTGAGTTGTCGTTCATCTTTGAGTTGGTGCCTACAGATGCCTAAATCAAATTATAGTGACAAATGAGGCAACGAACATTCTCTGCTGGGGTCGACATGTGACGAACCTGACGGGTGGTTTCTAAGCAATTGAAGTTGATCATTTCGGTTGTGGTGAGAGGAAAGGAAAACTTTCAGGAGGGTAATTTTCATCACTGAATGAGATTCAATCCGAAGATCCTCCGAAATTTGCGAATAGGTTACCTCCATTGCCCTGATCTCTATCTCCAAGTATCGTTGGTGTTAAGAGAGTGATTCTGGAATGATTGCGATGAGATAAATTCTTCGAGCCAAGCATTTCTGAATTGCAGTTTTCACTTTTTTCGTGATTATAATGACATGGCGATATTTTCAATGTTCAGAGGTTTTGTCGTCAGTTTTACGCTGTTCATTTAGTTTTCCTAGTTCGTTCGTCTGAACATTAAAATTTTGTTGTGTTGTTTTTAAGTGTTATTCGTTTGGTGATTGTCTTGCATTCACCTCTCAATGGCGGGTACCAACCGTTATTAATGATACCAGAAAAAATGTTTTTTGGTTTTTCGCTTATTTGACCTAATTCTCCAATAATCGTTTGGTGCAAAATAATTGCAACAATCGAAACCAGCTGACAGATTAATATTGGATATTAGTCATTAATCATTAACAATATGAGAAGGATTTCAGTGCATAAAATATTTCACAAGATAAAGATAAAAATTTAAAAACAACAACCGTGACAGCAACAATAGTCACGATATAGTCGAATACAACATCATCGCATAAAAGCAATGACGACACTGAATACACCAGTACTATTCGGCAAATTGTTGAGGGCATTCGTGGTTGTGGAAGAACGATAATGATAATGATATGATGAGGAACATAAGAAACAATAGAACCGCACCCATTGGATCCAGTGAGATCAGCGTTAAAATTTTAAAAAAACATTTTCTACGATTCCATTGACTCATACCATGAATCTGGTCGTGAGATTTCGATATTATTCACAATATGTTTTTTTTTCTATCAATAATAAATGTCTTCAACGTTATTGAAATGCAATTGGGGAGATATTAACGGAAATTTTTCAAACGATTTGTCGTTCCGTATTGATAAACGCAGTCACTACTGATAGATGCTAGTGAAAAAGTTTAGGATAAGAAATCATGGAAGAAAAATGTGGAAGAATTGATTTCAAGAGCGATAAATAATCATGATACCTGGTACGGTCCATTTTTCATGCAATGATCTTAAAAACAGCAGTAGATCTATCGGAAACGCCGTTTGACCGAGGTGTGCAATATTTGAACAAACAGTTGCCGTTCGTTTCATCCATTGCAATGAAAGTCATCATGGGGTTACCTGAAGTTGAGACAGTTTGTGCAGCATGCATACATCCTTTGAATCATTTGTAGTGGCGGTAGCGAACAACTTCGAGCTAATATCATTTGCGATAAACTTGAATAGATGATAGAATTCGGCCGAAACTGGTCGAAATTCGGCTTATGCCCAACTTCACTTCGGTAGGAAGAAGTATACAACTGTAATTGTGTTCCAAAGTTATCAGTGTTTCAGATTGAATCAAGTTTTTGATGCCGAATCTCGACTTTTAAACATACATTCACGATACATATCGAATTTATCATGCAATATGTCGAATGAATATTTTTTCGATCAAAATATTTACAGTATGTTGCCAGTTGCTGGCATGGAAAAATATGTTATTGTTTTTGACATTCCGAATGCATAAAAATTCTGAACAGGACAAAATAGTGAACATTCCTTAAAAAGTTAACAAGTTTGTTGAATGAGTAATGAGGGATTACTCGAGAATCGCTAACGACTATCCGTTTACCTTTAATCTGCCGATACTATTAACGCGGAAAGCTAAGCTGCTTAACATTTCTTCTCCGTTATTATAGCTTCTGATAGAGATTTGTCATGAATCGAATAATTGATGGCGTAATGGTTAACAGCCATGTAATGGAATCT